CGTGTTTATGAAGGCCACAATTGTAGGATTTTTGCTTTCCAGTTGCACAGAAAGATCTATTAATGTGTTAAAGATCTCAGCTACTGAAAAGCACATAGAAATGCAGAATCTAGATAGAATATGGGGAGAGGGAAATGTGTATGTTATAACCGGTATTTTAAGTTCTAGTTCAGGTAAGGAGCCTTTGCGTGAACCTGGCTGCCCGGGAGGAGGAAGGGGCACAGAACATCTTGTCATGTTCTTCTGAGCTGGAAAACAAGAGGCTCCCTGCATCACCTTGATTTCTTGAAGTCAAAACCAAGTAAAAATTAAGGAAGATACTGCCATAAACAGTGATATATTTCACATTTGGATACTGACTGCAGTGGTCACTTTGAGTGTACAGTAAGTGGCACTCAGGAGTCACTTCACCTGTATGTTGGTGCTTCTGCATCCTTATTGAAGGGGCATCACTGACTTTGTCTCTGGTCTTGTTCAGCTGCTTGAGCCTTTTGCCCCGATTGACTTTTTCATTTAGCTGTGAAATTATTTGATGTGCTTAATAATTAGGTTCCATAAACTTGGATTATTAAGTACAGGGTTTACTCTGCTTAAAAAGGAAGCTTGTTCCTGGAATTTAGTGCAATGTCAAATGGGGAAATGTAAGCTGGTAGTTCTGAAACAAAACGTAACCTTTAAAACGTAACCTTTAAGTTACGTTTTCTATGAAGTCTGTCTTAGTGAATGTTAAAAAAGCAAACCTTTTAGAAAGAAAATGGTAATCTAATTCTGGATTCCTTGTTTTGGAACAGAGCTGCTGATTCTTTCATTTTTCCTGGCAGCAAATCCTGCCTATTGTATGTGGAAAGCAGGCAGGATGTGCTGCCAGCCCAGCGCCCAGTGAAGGTGCTCTGAAGTGTTAACTCGGCAGCAAAGCTAATCTGGTTACTCCTGGTAACAAACAAATGCTTTGTTTAAGGAAAATCACACAGCAGGGAGGGCTAGCTTTAATTTTGTCTCATGTTTCGGGTGGATGTCTCCTTGCTTCCGCTGAAATCTTTCCAGAATTCAGGAACGCGGACTTGTTTCATCATGAAGTGAACAGCCCTCCCGTAGCATCACCTCCCACCAGCTCCACCTCCCATCCGCAGTGCGTGAGTCAAGGTTTCTGTTTCCACTTTGACATTTGAACTGAGTCACTTGTTCTGTTGTGAATGTCCGAGTTTTTATGGCTCTTCATGTCAGGATTACTCTTGTTACTTCCTTGTTAGCCTTTCAGGGGTATAAGTTTCCACTGGTTTTGTAGCTTTGACCTGCTTTGGAGATCAGCCCCTGGGTTGGGACTGATGCCCTGGTGGTGCGCAGGACCCTGCTGTGAAGCCAGTGAGATCTCATTGTTTAGATGAAGTTTTATTTTTCTAAAATCTCTAGTGCTGGTTTAATAGAGCCTCTTCATTTTATACATGGTAATGTAAATTCTTCCCCCGTGGAAGATAAACACTTTTATCTCAGGAATTCTCATCTGCTCTTTCCAGATGTACGGAGAAGACTTCTGATGAAATGAAAAATGTAAAAAGTGAGGGGACCAGTTTTAAACCTGCGGGGTGAGAGTTGTTCTGCCCAACCTGCTCGCGGCTGAGCCGGGCAGTGAGCTGCAGGAGACCCCTGCGCGCCCAGCTGTGTTTCAGGCTGCACAGCGACGAAGGAAAGAAATAAAACTATTGATACTATATAACACTTAAAAGAGAGGAGGCCAAATGGGGACACATGCAGTATGTTTTTAAAATGTCACAGCAAGCTAAAGTATTGTAATTAACGGGTCTAGAATAAAAAATACAATCTTTCCACTCTCAAACCTCTTGGTTTTTTGCTTGGAGTGGAGTGAGTAAAGGCAATTACATCTGGCCGTGGCACCCCCAAATAGAAAGTGGCACCAGTGTTTATGTACCATCTCATATTTCATGTTAAGTACACTATTTGCTGTCTTAAAAGAAAAAAAAAATGTTTCAAGAGTGAATGTGGCAACAAAAATTTTGCTGAAAATCTTGGTGTTACAGTATCGGAAAGTGAAAACTTACCTCTGCTCGGGTTTTTTTTCTGTCTCTGGTAAATGTCACATTCTTCATATGTTGCTCAGCTGAGCTGTACTTGAAGCTGAACCTGCTCTTTGCTGCCTATTCCCACCCCAGATCTGTGTCAGCAAGGTTATGTGTCTGAAGGGTGAATTTGGGGGACTAATTTGGCTGAAAAGTAACTGTTTCTGCCAGAAATTTTGGTCAGCTTGGCTGCCTGAGCTGGCTTACACCCCAGTGGAACCAAGTGTCTCTGGGAGGAGAGGGACACTGAAGAAGCCAGGAGCTGCTTTTGCAGGGCAGCCTCTCAAGGAGCACTTTGGATGCTTATGGTGGGCAAAATGTTGTACTAACTCGGTGTGGGAAACAGTCTGAAGGTACCGTTTTCAGGGAATTAATTTGTTTTATCCTCTTTATTCATTAAGGAGGTGATTATAGCTGCAACAGATGATTGCTCAGTTTTGGTTTTAGAAGCAGTCTTTTAAAATGCACTGCTGAATTTTAATTAAAAAACTGTACCAGCTGATTCACGTAAAGGTTCTGGCTAACAGGTCTCCTGCCTGGTGCAGCAGAAAAACTTCACCTTCAGTTCTCGCAAACCTTCCTTTCTTGGGGGACCAGCTCCATTCCTGCATCTAGTGGACTGAACTGCTTCCAGTCCAGCAGCTATTTTATATTTAGGCAGTGGACCAGCCCGTGCGCCGCTGCCGCGGTGGGGTGTGATGCCAAGCCCTGTGCGCAGAGTTTGTCGTCCCCCCAGGCTGCTGCTCGTGCTGTGCTCTTCCCTGTCTCACGTAGAAGGTGTCGGGAGGCTCCGGGCTGGGCAGGTCCCCGTTTCCCTGCCACGTGCTGTCCGGAAGCGCAGGGACGGATCGTGCCCAAACAGCTCGGTCACAAACCGGCACGTTTGGGGCCCCCGGCGCACGGGAGGGGCTGGGACGGCGGGGCGTGCTTTCCCCATTAGTAATGGCTTGGAGGGACCTCGTTTTGCAACTGAGCCTTAACTGTTTGGACTGTATTGAGTTGAGCTGCTGGGAATGTAAACAGCCATAGCTGCTGTAGTCTGGGCTTCCTAATCTCAGTTTGGGACCGGCTGTGTTCCTGATGTGCCTCGGGGGAGGCTTACAGTGGAGGGTCTCCAGGCTGGAGGCCAGCTACCGCCGCTGCGGGGCTTGATAACGCCCTTGGGAACACGCTCTGCAACAAAATCTTCCAATTCTTAATCAGTTCTTGATTCCAGAAGGCAATGCTGCTTCATCGCTTTATGCTACTGACCAGTTAAGATAGAAATAAGACCTAATAAGGGATGAGGACAGAACTAATTAGCGTTGAAAAAGAATTCTGTTATTTTCTATAAATTTGCTAATTCTCTAATTAGTCAACATAAGGAGTTAGAGTCCTGTGAAGCTGCAGTTAGATGGAAACTTTAAACTAGTAGTACCTGTTATTTGGAGGAAGACAGAGATACCTTTGATGGTTTGTTGCCTTTTCCCCCGGTGACTGCGCAGTAAGGAGATAGGCTGTGCTGCTATCACACGGTTGCATTTGCTGTTTCATGGTTGTGGTCACTGAAAACTAGTGTCGGTGGCTCTTTCTTGGCTTCCTTATTAAAGGTGGAATGTGGGCCTGCAGGAAGGGTGAGGTCTTCCCTCTCTGCCTTTCCAAACCTGACATCATCATCGGTGGCTTTCCTAAATGAGCGCTGGCCAGGGGACGCTGTCCTGCTGCCACCGAGGACTGGGGAAAACATCCCTGACCAGAGGAGGAGATCCGGATTTTCAAGCTGTGACTTCAAATCCTTGATAAACCAGTTAGGTGTGCAAAGAGCGTTTAAGATAAATACATGAAAATTGTTTTGCACTTCACATAATGATATATAGTCTGCTGGCAACCATGTTTTAAATGAAAACAAACTTCTGCTAGCACATTACTGAGCTGTCTTTGCTTTTCACTCGAATATAACTTCCTAGGAAAAAGGAGGGGAAGGAGAAATCAAACTTCTGATAAATCTAAAGTTGTGTGGAAGTTCTGTACTGTTTGTTGGTTTTAAATTAATGTGGCTAAAGCCATTCAAAAGCATCCAGTAACTTTGGTAGTATAATGAAAGGTTCTGTTGAGCACAAATATGGAACAATATTAGAAGGAACAATGTTTTGTCCCAAGATAACTCCTATAAAATGCATTTCATGATTCCCAATAGCTAAAAGTGAATTTACAAAATCTTATAGTACTTTCATTATTTGGGCATGGGTGGGAAAAATTCTGTGAACTCTCAGTCAATCACTATTCCTGTGATTATCGGCAGCTCAGTGGTTTTAATGATGTGTACATATCCAGTTATAAGTACTCTAAATGTTCTTAGAAGTTGTTTTGAATTATGCCACCTGAGGTGGCTGTTTTATTTCCTAAAACTGCTGGTAAGGGTAAGGTCGTGTGTTCTCTTCTGGTATGTCAGATCTCCGCTTCCATGGTGTCTGTTTCATGTCACGTCCGTATGTGAGCGTGTCAGCATTCAGGGAGAATGAACTGCTGATGCCTTCGTCTAATCTAACTTTCTCTTACAGTGAGCCAAATTAAGGCGTAGAGAGATATACAAGGGAGTCAGTGCAAGCTCACTTGCATAATGTAAATATAGAAACCAGCTGCATTTTCTCTTAAGCAGATCTCTAGGCAAAAGAAGGGAGCTGAGAGCTGGGTGTATGTGCAGGCTAACAGGGCTGCTGCTGGAGCTCCAGTAAACTGCCCTGCAAATCTCCTGTTAAATGCTGATTGCTTTAACTAGGAAATCTTACCGTGGTTGGAACTACAAGTAGCTGTTCTTAAATATCAAAACGAAATCATTTCCAATAGGGTGTTTTATTTCTAAACAGCTGCAGCTGTTGTTGGAAGAAGTCTGTTTTTACAGAAGGCACCTTGAGCTGTGTTGTTCAGCGAGCTTATGGCGGGTGAATGCGGTCTGCTCAGCCGGCTGCCTCGGCAGGGCTGCGCTCCGGCATCGTCACTCTGCTGATCCTGACGTACAGCTGCCACCTTGATCAGGGTGGGATTTTACCCGACTGGTGTTTGAATTTCTGCTTCTTTATAGGCATTGCTTAGGCTGACTTGGTATTTAAGATGAGCCGTTTGCTAAGATGTGTCTAGGTGAGGTGCAGAGCTAAAGCCATGTGCCATTCGGTAACGTTGTATGGACTCTGTGCCATAAACTCTTTCTTAAAGGTGGGTAAAATTCAATTTCATGAAAGCTGCTAGGGAAAGGCATCCATTCACCTGTGGAAAACAGGACTGAGAAGAAAATGGTGTTTGAAACCGAAAGCCATGTTAGCCATGGTACGTACAGCCCCTTCTTGAAGGGCATGTACAGTATCAAATTCAGTTTTAGAAATAGAGATGGCTCATCTCTTATGCAGTCTGTTAAAGGAGAAAAAACTCTGGCTGCTCAAGAATTTTGTGTAAAACCATTGTCATGCACAGCACTATGTTCCTACAGAAATATTTAGTAGTTCTGACTCTTATATCGAATCAGTTAGCTGATGCATGTAGTAGTTGCCACTTAAGATTACATTAAAATCTGTTTAAGAATGTGCCGCTATAGCTGCAGTATTCTTATGCCGTTGTTCTTCCATGTAATTTCTGGTGGGATTTTGCAAGACTAAAAAAAAATAAATTAAAAAGTCAAATTACTCCTCTCTAACAGGATACGATTTTGATCAGAGACAGTGTTTCTATTTGTGTGGAAGAAAAGTTTACCGATCTTGTATGTGTTTTACTAAACAAATAAATATTACAGTGCTTGCAGTTTACATTGCATCAGTTAGCTGATGCATGTAGTAGTTGCCACTTAAGATTACATTAAAATCTGTTTAAGAATGTGCCGCTATAGCTGCAGTATTCTTATGCCGTTGTTCTTCCATGTAATTTCTGGTGGGATTTTGCAAGACTAAAAAAAAAAAAATTTAAAAAGTCAAATTACTCCTCTCTAACAGGATACGATTTTTTTGATCAGAGACGGTGTTTCTATTTGTGTGGAAGAAAAGTTTACCGATCTTGTATGTGTTTTACTAAACAAATAAATATTACAGTGCTTGCAGTTTACATTGCTATCAAAGTATTTACGTGGCTTTCCTCTTGAGGTTTTGAGCATTACTGTATTCTGGTATTTAATTATTAAACACCTTATGGTTCACAAATAGTTCAAGCAGATAATGTGCCCCCCCCCCCCCAAATTAAAATAACCAAAACACAACTTAAAGTAAGTGAATATTGTCTTCTGAGGCATTCCACATGTTCAGCTGATGAAGCCTGATCAAGAAAGTGAACTTTCTGTGTGTGACCAGTCTCGCACTAGGTTATTAAACACATTTTAGGACCACAAGGAAGTAAGTGTAGTAGATGAGGAACCCTGACAGCGGTGGGGGAACCTCTCTGAACAGGAAAATAGAGTACTGGAGTACCTCCAAGTCCTCTAGCGATAGTATGTGTAGTAATAGTGAACAGCCAAGTGGAAGAGATCACAGGTGAACTAGATTTATCTTTCTCTATTTTATAGCTCTAGCAAAGGTAGGATAAAGCACTGTTATAGCAAATGAGTCAAAGCCAAATAAATCAGTGTCAACATTAAACAATGCAACGTTTATGTGTAGACTGGGATTGGAAAAAGGTGTGGAAGTGTAAAGGTTTGAGTATGTTTGTAACAACTGTTAATATTTTGTCTGGAAGTATGTGTAAGTATTCAGATATTTTTCTGTTGAGGATAGACCTTTACTGGGAACGCTGTTAACTTCTGATGATCTTCGTAAGTAATAAATCTTTTAGCATTATGGAATTCAGCAGAGTTTGTGTGCCTGTAAGTTGAAGCGAAGGTGTTCAGGCTACCATTGCCACTGATTGATAAAGCTCTGCAGTGGTAAAATATAAAAAGATGAAGTTGGCTGTCTTGCTTTTTTGTATTCCTTTACATTCAGGTGCATTGTTAACATTACCTGATTAACAACATGGAGTGAAATTAAAATTGCTTCAAGACATCTTTGCATTCAAATGAAGTTACTCAGGATTCCAGTTTGTTTTCTGTTAAAAACTGTGTGCGGTCTGAAATATCGTTAGAGCTTGGTGCAGCGCATTCGTGCTGTGGGCTGGGAATTCCGGGAATGTCAGGCTTTTCCAGGCACCCTGTGCCTGGGCAAGCCGCACGTGTTCACTCCGTGGCCGGGACCAGGAGCCAGGGCTACATACAGCCTCGTGGACGTGGTGGTGTTTGTAGCAGTGGTCATACCGGGATTATAACTTGAAACTCAGCGGGTTTTGTTGAAAACATTGTAGGAATATTTGACCCTGAACATGCTAATTAGTCTGACAATGGTCTTTTTTTCCTCCCTTAGGGCTGAGAAAACGGAGGTACTTAGTGAAGACCTGTTGCAGGTATTGTAACAGTTAATGTGTATTTTTTTAAATGGTCTTTGTGAAGTTTGAGTCTTCTGAGTTTTGTGGGCTACCTAATGGG